TGAGCTCCCTCTTGCTTTTCTTCCTTTGTCTAATCTTTACAAATAATCTCTAACTTCCAATAATTTCCCATCAGTTAATTGTAACTACTTGTCGAGCTCCAACTGCACTTTCAGCAAGCATGAGGCTAGGATGTGGGCAGGTGGACAATCGTTTAAATAATCGTTCCTTGAGCATTTGTGTCGGGCGTTGTGGAAAGTGTTTAGAAATGCCTTCTCTCATTCACTCCTTAGAAATACCCTCTGAAGTAGTTGCTGCTTTCCCTCCATTTTGCAGGTGAGTTAACTAGGAATTGGACATCTGAGTGTGTGGGACCAGGACTCAGTCTCAGTCTGACTCTAAGCCTCCGCTTGGAAGCCTTCTGGTTCTGCACGTCCTGAGGATCCAGCTGGTTCTTCCCCTAAGGAATTTTCCGTTGGGGAGGCAGAAACAGTAGCAGACAATACTGCTTGGGTATGAATAAGTATGGAGTTGTTTGGAACTGCGAAGGAACTCAGAGGCGGAGGTCAGGAAAGACTAGGGGCGATGAGGGGGCTGCGTGAAGGAGACAGTCTTCGCTGGGGTCTGAAATGTGGCTAGGCAGAGGAGGGAGAAAGAATTGAGGGCAGGGAATGGCGTGAACCAAAGCCTGAGTGAGAAGGATGTGCTCTTGGCAGTGGGGACAGGGATAGGGATGGGGTTGGGGATGGGGTGCTAAATGGGGCAGGATATCTCAGGGAAAGTGGGAGGCGGGATTGGGTAGGTAGAGCCAGAGGGATTTGAAGTCACACGGGAGACATGATGAAGGGGTAATAAACAGTTCTGGGTTTTGAGCAAGATGTGACAGGATGAACTTCCTGATGAGCCATGAGGTTGGCAACAGATGGCAGACTCCTCCGGGCAGGGTGGTAGCCTTCAGACCTTTCCGTCTAGTTCTTGTTTTTTAATTCTTCTCTCCCTGTGTGCCCTTGGGACCTAGTGTCACCTCTTTTGGTCCCAAGAACAACCATCTGTGCAGAGGTCCCATGTCAGTTGATCAAACCACCCTGGAGTGTGGTGAAGTGAAAAAGTACAAAATGTGGAGGTCAGGAACCTGATTTGACTCCTGGCTGTGTAGCTCACTAACTGGACAAATTTTCTAACCTTTCATTCTTTTTTCCCCCTCCCTGTAATTTCCACATAATAGTGATGACTCATAGGGTTGTTTCAGGATTAAGATGATAGCAGCTATAAATACAGAGGCTGTTTAGTGATTCCAGGCCTGGGATCAAGTGCCAGCTGTATCACTTATTGTGTGACTTTAGATGAGTTACTTAACCTCTCTGGGTCTCCTTTTTCTTATCTATAAAATCAGGCTGATAATTGTACCTACCTCACCATTATTAGAATTATATGAGGAAGGATAGATAGGTAGGTAGATGGCTTTTAAACAGTGCCTGGTGCATGGTGATGTGTGATGAGTAAGTTGTAGCTGCTGTGTTAGTAATGGCATAGTCATCACTGTCATTGTGGGACTCGGTGTGGAGTAGGTGCTTTATTTAAGGCCGAAGACTGGAGAGTGAAACCTCCCGGATGTGTGGTAAGAAGCTGCCTCTGATCACTGTGTGGAGGTGCTGTGCCGTCAGTGCTTCTCTTAAGCACTGAAATTATAATCATGCGCCAATTTTAGGATCTTTTAGAGATTCCAGGTATTACTGAAATCCTTTAAAAAGTCAGTCATTGTTTTTGACATAGAAGGACTCTTGCAATCACATCTTTGTTAGGCACAGAAATATTTCCCTTCCTTTTTAAATAGCAAGGGGGAGGGAGGGAGAGGAGAGAGGAGAATGCCCGGGTTCCTTCAGCCACACGGCGCCTGCCTGTCAGGACCTCCTGCTGCAGTGGGCGCTGGGCGGAGGCCCTTCCTGGGCGGGCGGCTCAGCCCTGTGGCTCTGTCCTGGGTGGAGGGGCGCTGAGGCCCGGCGTGAGCCTAGCGTCTGCTTTGTGCCGCTCTAGCTCCAGCGTTCTTGTTCTGGAATGTTTCCCTCCCCTTGTCACAGACCTAGACCAGCAGTGCCAAGGCCAGTGTCTTCCAGCTGCTTTTCCTAAAAACCCCCACCCTTGTTCTTGAAGCAACAGTTGTATCTGAGTCTTGGATTTATCTATGTGGAGCAGTTCTTTCCTTTTTTAAAAAAAAACAAAACAAAACTCAAATCTTTGGACCTTGCCCTTTGTAGATGAAGTGAGAGTTGCTTTCTGAGGACTGGTTCCTACCAGAAACCAGCTGCTTTTAAATTGCTGCCCATCTTTAAAGGAACAGTTTATTTGTGGACTGTTCCCTACCACAGAACCTTGCTGTCTGTAGGAGTCCAGTGTAGACGATGACAGTGTTGAGATCGGTGGCGCCTGGGAGAGGTGCGTGAGTTTGGTTTTAAGACTTTAATCTCATGTAGAGTCAAAGTCCTGTGGAGCTAATCCCTTTGACCCCCCCACCCCCTGCCATTGTGGCTAGTGATGTGTGTGGATGGGCGTCGTGTCCAGGGGTGTGAACAAAACCTGGATACCCACATTAGCCTTGTGGGCAGATGATCCGACAAAGATAAGGACTCTGTGTGGGGGCCTCTGGCATTCAGTGGTGTCCTACAAGGAAGAACATCTTCAGGTAGCAGTTACTTTGTAAATAGCTGAAAGACTGGGCTGTGTATATTTGGCCTCAACTGTGCCAGGAAAAATGCTATCAGAAAGATGTGATGGGAGGGAGGGCTGGTGCGGAAGAACAGTCACGTGATGACGGCAGCAAGGCGGCCTCCCTCCAGCTTTACGTTTCCTGGATTTCACACTGGAGCTGGGGAGAGAGGCTGATTGTTGGGTAATGACTGCTTCCTTTCTTCATTCTCCTTGAACGCAGAATTCTACCTCCAGTAGTAATACCGTTTTTAATACTTCGTTTATAAAGTGTTGTAGATTGGGGTCAGAAAGCAGACAGACCTCCATCTGCCTTGGGGAAGGACTAGGAGGAAGTCCCTCTGTTAGGACCTTGGTTGTTATTGCCATTGCAATTAAAAATCTGTGAGGGATTCAGATTTTGCCATGTATTATAAATGCGGTAAGGCTGGGGACCATGTCCTTAAAATATGTCCCTAGGCCCTTGTGCGTGTTTGACCTGGTTGTCCAGTGGGTGAAGAGGCAACTTGTCTGAAGCCAGGAGCATCTTGCCTTGAAAGGCTGATGCTCAGTCTGTGGCATTTTATTGGAGTGTGGGTTAGGATGGGAGATGGCAGGAGACTTTTGTGGCTCCCTCAGTGAATGTGGCTGTGACTTCAGTGGAGCTTGACTTGCCAAGTTTGTGGTCACTCCTGAGGCGTATGGGGCACTGTGAGTGTCAGAGGGGGCTCAGGTGAGTGAAGAGGCTTCCTCAGTGCCAAGGGGTATCAGAAGTACTCTTCCAGTCCCAGCCCACTTCACAGAGGGAAGATGGTGCTTGGCCATGGCAGTGTAAGGAGTCGGGGAAGGAGCCCTTTGCATGTTAACAGCTGTCTCGCCTTACTGCTTGGAGGATAGTTAGGAATTTTCAGATCTTTCCCCCCATATTTATGTAAAACATAGGGGAGAAAAATAATTGCCATGAAGAAATGGAGATGGCTGTGGTTTTGTCTCATGCATAGCTGTCACTAACAGAGCCTTCCTTTAAATATTCTGTGTCTGGAAAGTTGTAGATAAAGTTAAGCCATTGATTGGAGTATAGAGGTATTTGCCAGCCTTCCTGCCCTTGAACAGGTAATAAAATAAATAAATATAATAAGTAAATAAAAGCTGGTAATAATAAATAAAGTCAGTATTTGATTTGTATACCCTTTGTATCCAATCTACTTTGTTATTTCTTTCTTCAAAATGTCTTTGGAGATTGCTTATCCCCAGCACCTAAAACTGCACCTGCCATAATTGATGCTCAGTGTTTGTTAAATGACTTGCCCTTTTGCAATTCCACTTCCCCATGCCACAGTTCTGATTTGATTTCCCTTCATCTCATGTCCAAGTGATTGCCCAGGCCTCCTGGCCATTGCCTGGCTGTTGTTCCATCTTCCTTGATACCACCCTTCTGTCTGCGGCTGGGCCATTCTGCTTTGAAGGCTGGGCTTCTCCTGCCCGTGTCCCCAGTGAGCTCTCCTGCCCAGCCCGACTCTTCACCCTCCTCCCAGTCTCATGCACATGCTCTGCTAAGTCCTGCCTCCAGCCTCGTCTATGCCTTCTCTGTACCCAAAGGGTCCTTTCTTCTCTGCTTACCCAAACCCTAACTATCCTACCCTGATAGCCTGCCCATATGGTTTAGGAAATGTTTGCTTGTTTGCTGTAGTGCCCACATTGGCATTTTCCTTGATTGGGCTCTCCGCGTCCTGAGGGTGGGAGGTGTCTTTTCTGCGTGCCTCTTTCAGCGGTCCTCATACACTGGTCACATTGTAAGCAGTCAGCAAACTCTTGATTGACAGACTTACCATTCTCTTATAGTCATTGGCCCAGAAAACAATCAGTAAGAAGCACTTACCTACCTTTGTCCCATTTTGAGTTCTTTTTTCCATAGTTCTTATTGTTTGTCTTTGGCTAAATGTTGAGGACATAGGTTGTATGGATTTGGCTGGGAAAAGAAACCCCACACAGCATGTTTTAGCATGTTTTGGTTTTTGTAAAATTTTTTTTGGTGAGGAAGATTGTCCCTGAGCTAACATCTCTGCCAATCTTCCTCTGTTTTACCTGGAATGCCACCACAGCATGGCTTGATGAGCAGTGTGTAGGTCTGCACCCAGGATCCAAACCTGTGAACCCTGGGCCACTGACGTGGAGTGCTCAAACTTCACCACTGAGCCAGCCCTCCCAACAGTGTGTTTTTAAAGGTGAGTCTTACTGTAATGCAAAGTGCCCTTTGGCTGTTTGGAAGCTGAGGTGGTAAAGGAGAGGAGGAGCTCTAGGTGGGTGATGTGGTGGGGGGGGGCAGCAGGTGTGGCCGGGGCTGGGGGGCTTCCTTTGAACAAGAGCTGTGCTAGAATGCTGACTGCAGGTGTGGCCCAAGAGTGGGTTTGGGGTGCAGACCCTCCCGCCTCTCTTGCTTTCTCTTATCTCCTCTTCTCCCACCTCTGCCCCCAAGTCTGAGCTACCTCCTGCCATTTTGGAGATACTCTTGCCTCCTCAAGTAGCACAAATTGTTGGGAGAAAACTGTAGCAGTTGGTGTATGTGCTAAGAATGTGTGTTTCTGCTTTATCAGGAGCTCCGTTGAGCTCCTGTGGGCCTGTTCAGGATTGATAAGGAGCTCCAGGAGCAGAGTCCGTGGGCGTGAGACCATGTGCCCATCCACCCAGGGAAGGACCGTGGGGCTGACAGTGTAGGAGCAAAGTTGGGGGTGAGAGGGTGGGGCTGCCTTTGCAGTCAGACCGTGAGTGTGGGCGACAACCTCCGTGGGGGGACTACCCTCCGCAGGGGCTGAGGCTCCTGCACGATGAGAGTGGCCTTGGGATTGTTTCCTCTGTTCTTCTGCCTCTAGTAGGGCCCAACAGGAAGGGAGTTTGTGTGTTTGTTCTTTTGTTAGTTTGTTCTTCATTTATCTTTTCAGTTCCTTGGGCCAAAAATTTTGGGATTATCCTTTTATTCTCACACCTCATATTTTATCCATTAGCAAATCCTGTCAACTCCACTTTCCTGTTTTGATCCAGAATCTCACCCCAGCCTACACTGGTACTTCTCTAGGCCAAGCCACTGCCGTCTATCTCCTGGATGCTCACAGTAACCTCCAAATTGGTTTCCCTGCTCCCACCTTTGTGCCCCTACATATATTGTCAACGCAGCATCCAAAGTGGTCCTGGTAGAGCCTGGCTTGCAGTCTCGTCATTCTTCCTTGTTCAGACCCCTTCACTGGTTCCCTGAAGACCTCACATTGGCCCACAAGGTCCCGCACGGGCCAAGTGTCCTCGATGTCGCTGACCCAGCCTCCCATTTTGCACATGCTGTTGCCTTGCATCCACGGTTTCCCCCACGTGACCCCATGGCTGCTCCTTCGGTTCCTTGCTGTGCTTTCCCTGCCCACACAGGTTTCCCAGATGTCCTGCCTGACACGCCGCCTCCTCCCAACCCACCCAGCGCTGCCTCTGCTCTTCCGCACTGGTTCTCCTCCACAGCTTAGCTCTCTTTCCAGTAGGTTCGGGTTCGCTGGCCTGTCTGTCTCCCTGCTAGAATGAAGGCTTCGCAAGGACAGGGCTGGTTTGTTGCGCTCACTCTTCTGCCTCCACGCCTGGCACACAGAGAACAAACAGTGAACGTTAGCTTCCTTCATTTCTTCTGTGTCTGTTCTGTTCGGGGAACCAGGTCCCGGGGGCCACAAGCACACACATGGGAGTAAGACATGAATTAGTGCCTCCCATCCAACTCACTACCTAGTGAGGAGCAAATAATGAAATAGCAGTGTAGTGGGGGCGGTACTGAAGGAGACAGGAATAACTTCGTGGGAATGAGGAGGGAACTGAGCATGCTGGGAGGGGCTGGGGTTCCGGCACAGACTATCCCCACCCTGCAGGTGAGGCCGACTTACCTGAGCTATTCTGCTCTCACTGCACATCTTCTCTCCATCTTTTTCCATGAGGCTAAGAGAGAATCATCAATTTCCTTTTGTTAATCAGGCAATCAACAAATATTAACTGCTTTTTTGTATACGAACGATACTTCTAGGCACGGGAATACTGCTAATCTTGAAGGCAGGGAAGGCATCGTGAATTTTTTCATCTTCATGCCAAATGAGTCCAGTTCGTTTAACCTTTCCTTATAAGGTCTGTCTTACATCCAGTTAGTCTTTTTTTTTTCTTTCTGTACCCATTCCAGGTTTTTTTCCCCTTTTATTTTTGTTTTTCTGTCCTAGAAGGATTCCATCCCTACCAGGGGAGGAATTTATTTTCTGAACCTACCTAATACTTAACTAGCAAAAACAGTTCTGCCCCCTTCTCCCTTCTCCCAACTGTAGGCAGTCATCGTAAATCGCCCGTGGTGCCAGCTGCAGTTAGCACCATCCCTTTGTATAAAACAGGCCCTGGGCCAGGGCCCCCGCCACCTCAGTGCCCTTCCTGTGGCCAGTGCTGCCCTGCCAGCTACAGTGTGGCAGTGCTGGGGTCCACGCTACCACAGACAGTTCAACTCAACCTCTCGAGGATCATCTTTGGCTTTTGAGGTAGAGCAGCGCACCTGTGCCAGCTAGCAGGCGAAGAGGACGCCTGAGCCACACTGGAGCCCCCCTCTCTCTCCTTCCTTCCATCACTGCCTCCAGCCATTTGTCACCATCGTCATCACTACAGAGAGTGCTCATTCAACATTGTCTCTGACTTCTAGGCTTATGCATTTTGAGGAACCAGAGCACAGTTAGCACCATGGCCTGAGGACCTAAAGGAACCCTTGGAAGGTGCGCCTCGGTTGGTGAGTTAGTGAACCAAGGTTTAGAGGTTTGCTGAGCTTTGTTTGGGTCGGGCTTGTCCGCAGGAGGTCCTAGTAGAAGCTAGGCTGCCCTGAAAGTGCTGGCGATTGGTTGTGATGGGATTCTTTTAATTGGTGAGGAAAGTCAATACATCCAGGGCCCACTGAAGGGGTAAAATCCTGAGATTTCAGTTATGGGTAATGCGCACTATGTGGATCCTTATGGATGAGTCTTCCTTCCTCTTAACTCCCTCAGAAAAGCTCCACTCTTTCATTAGTGGCGGGGCTTCTACTTAGGAAACTCCAGCCAAAGCTGTTCTGTCAGCAGGCATCAGTCGATAGGCTGCCGTGGTGGAGTCTGTCCTGTCTCCATTTCAGACTGTGACCATTTTATCTTCTTCAGAGCTGCCCTTAGTAAATAAAGTCTTCTGTTAAGGTTAGTGTATCAATTAGGATCAATCTCAGTTGGAAATTTCAAAATTTTGTTAAACATGAAAGAAGATTTTCTCCTTTATGTAAAAGAAGGCTAGAGTTGGGAAACCCAGAGCCAGTATGACCAGCCCCAGAGACATCAGGACTTTGGCTCCTTCTATTTAGAAAAATAGAAGTTCTGGCGCTGTTAGCTGCAGCGTGTGGTCCGCTCCATGGATTGACAGGTGAGAATTTAAGTTGACTTAATCCACTACCCTGGCACATGATATCTATCCTTTAGGTTACCTCATCGTCAAATATGGCTGTTGGAGCTCCAGCCATCATGTATTTCTGTTTCCAGGGAAAACAAAAAAGGAGGAAATTGAGAGAAAGGCAAAAAATTCTTGCCCATGTGAGACAACTCCTTTAAAGGAGTCTTTCCGGAAGGCTCACGCACTTCTGCTTATGTCTTATTGGCCAGCACTTAGAACATGTTGTCATAGCTAGCTTCAAGGAAAGCTGGGAAATGTGGTTTTGTAACTGAGTACATTGCAGGCCCTAATAAAATTGGGTTCTCTTACTAAGGAAGAAGTCTTTGTTATAGTTTGTAAGTGTGTCTGACTTCTTTGCTATAGTTATGGTGTCTAAGAAATACTTTCTGCTTCATGCGAGTCTGCTTCCTGCCCTGTCCCCTGTGGACATCGAGAGGAGCTGAACACATACACACAGTGATTCTTTCTCCAGGTACTGACTGACTGTCCTTGCCTCTCTCCTTTGAGCCAAGTGATAGGCTATTGCAGGAGTCCCTAGGAAGCCCCGTGGGTGAGGGAGTATATTTCGTGGTGCCATCTCAGTCAACAACAGTGGCAGTGCAGGCCTGGGCGTACTGAGAGGTTGCTGTTTTGATGTCTCTGGCTCTTTCTCCCTACCCCTCTCTGAATGCTGTCTTGTTTAGAAGTTGTAATCCTGATGTGCGACCCTTTCAGCTTCATTGCTTAGCTCCCCGTCTCAGGGCCCCAGAGGAGTGGGAGCTAGGTGCACGCAGCACCTCTGAACCTGGTGGTTGAGCCAGTGCAGACTCAAGTGAGAGAAACTGGCGTGTGTGTTTATGTCCTCTCTCTGCAGCTGCACCTAAGAGATCAGGAATTATGGAGGACACACTCTCAAGAGTCCTGCTCATTTTCTCCCCTTTTGCAAACACGTTCACAAACACTGCTTAATGGTCCAAGATTTTGGTTTATGACTAAAAATCTGAAGTTCTTAAATTCTCTGGACCCAAAGTCCTTAGGAAACCCGGATCCTATAATCAGTGCAGTGAGTGAGTTAGAGATCTCTCAGGTCCTTTCCAGTTCGAGTCCTCAGCAACTGTGTGGTGTCTTCTTGGGCCTTTTCAGGCATGAAGTCTATTTCCACCTCCCTCCCTTGGCTGGAAGTTGTCCAGGAAATTGTCACTGACATGTTGAGATGCATAGCAAATGGAGCTGTCAAGAGAAATGTAGAGTTCATCTTAGAAAATGTTGCTCCCAGCAGTGGCTTGAGGAAGTGTTAATTGGTAAGAATGAATGAGTCTATTATGGGATGGTGGTAGGTGGAAATGAGCAAGTGAATGCAGATGACTGGGCTCCTGATGGTACTTGGTGCTCAGCTGGGAGCCTTCTTAGGTGCAGTCTGCTTCCCCTGCTGCCCCGGGTGGGTCAGCTGCTGCTGCTCCTCTGTGTTCTGACTCTGGATCCTGTGCTGAGCAGGAGGATGGGGAGGTTCCCTGTGGAGAGGGGAGGGTGGGCATGGGCTTTGCTGGAACAAGGGGCAGAGAGGGTGTGGAGCAGGGCAGGCACACTGTGGCTTAGGTTGGCTTAGGGTTAGGATGGAACAGGGCTGCAATACCACTCCCAGTCTGATCCTTCAGTTCTTTACAGTGCCTGCCTCTCTTTTATACTCCAAACTAGGGGATTTTGAGGAGTAGGACAGGAGAGAGGTGAAGATATAGCTCATAGCTACCATTCATTGAGAGCTTACTGTGTGCTAGGCATTCTTGGTAGCTAAATGCACTGTCATTTAATCCTTAACAAGAATCCTATGATGTGGGTAGTGAGTATCAGAGAGGTTGAGTGACTTGGTTAAAGGTACACAGCTAGTGAGTAGCAAGACCAGGCTTTGAATCCAGTTCTGTTTGAGTCAAAGCCTGTGCCCTTAATCACGTCAGATTTCTGCTTCTCCCTCTGTGGTTCATTCAACAAGTGTTGAGTGCCCACTGTGTGTTCTAGGTGAGGTTCTGGGAGATGATAATAGTGAGCCAGACAGATGGAAGTCCTTACCCTCGTGGAGCTTGTGTTATAGTGAGGGGTAATTTCCCACCTTCTTTCACAATCAGTTTCCTATATTACATCTTTGTAACCTCAAATTTTATATAAATATCACACTTCTCTCCTAGAATGTTCCTTAAATGACTTCTTTTTCTCAAACACTAGAATGAGAGATTTCTTATTTGTTGGATATTAGGATATTGATCCCTACTCCCCATTTCCCACCTCCCCCAGCATCATAATGGGGCAGCTAAGATGTAGTGCCTTATCGGAGACCTGGGGGGTTCAGGAGTTCCCCCATATCTGGGATTTGGCTTTGCCTGTCAAATCACTTCCCTTCTGCCCAGGGAAGGGTACTTCTGGCCTGCATGGAGTTGCTTTGCGCCCTGCTGCCCCCAGAGTTGTTTTGAGGTAGGGGAGGGTGAAGGTCAGGAAATCAGTGATAATGTCAATTCTTGCTGTGAGCTGTCCTTAGCGTTGGTTTCAGAGAGGTTCTGTGTTCAATTTATTGTAGCTGGTCAGTTGCTTATTTTTTTTCCCCTGGAGTCTGGCTCAAGCCCTGTGGATTTTGAGAAGGTTGGCTGTCTGCCTTCAGATCAGATGCAGGTGCCTGGAGATAGATGCCCTCCTTTCACTTCAGAGCAAAGAGGAGGGAAGATGTCAGGAGTCTGCTGTCCACTAAGAACACTGCACTAGTGGGGCATAGAGTGAACACGTTCATCTCATGTTCATGAGACCTGTTGAATGAAGGATTTGAACTTGAGGTTGCCGTCAATGTACTGACATTACGGACAGAAGCAGAGTCCTCGTCATCGTTCTCATCATCTCTAGCCTTTATTGAGTGTCTGCTGTGTGCCGGGCACTGTAGGAGCCATGTTACAGCCTTCCCCTGAAACAGATGTTTCCTTCTTCTTCTTTGGTGTTATCTTCTTTTTGCCAGAAAAGGAAACTGAGATAGGTTAAGAAACGCCCCCCACTCCCCACCCCCGACCCAGGTCACGTGGATGGGGAAGGGACAGAGTTGGAGTTAAACTGAGGTCTTTCTGGAACTTCACACACAGGCAACAGTCCCCTGCTGGGCAGGTGCATCCTGTGGTGTCAGGTGCTCTCCCGGGGTCACGCTCCTCAGCCCCTGGTGCGGCACCAGCCTGCGCGTAGACCTCCCTCCACAGCCCTCACCTTAACGACAAGTCATGGAAGCTTCGAGTTTTTGCAGTGTGTGATTGATTGCTGTGGAGCCTCTTTTTTATGTTTGGTCTTTCCCTCTTTCTGTTCCCACACCTTCTTCCCTCTCCCCAGAAGATACCCAGGTTGGCTTAGTTCTGCCTCCTCAACTCCAGAATTGTACAAATTCTAAAAGGCCAGCGAGTGGAGTGTGGTAGGAGATTTGAGGAGGAGGTGTGTGCTGCCTTTGCATGTCAGCGCTAGGCCCTCCCTCCAGAGATTTGTAATCTGGATGCTGGCATTTCCTTGGTGGAGCCCCAAGGAAATGAAAACACAGGATTGTTGACAGGGTCTGGAGAGAGGTGAGGGACACTGGGGAGGCTGGGGCTGCCCATCCCTGTTTCAGTCAGAGCAGTGTACCCAGCTACTAACAAAAAGTTGAATTGCTTGGCTAGTCCAGTCCTGCCTGGTTACAGAGAGGAATCTGGATCCTGCCCAGGCAAGTGTTGTGTCCGAGGTTGTGTGGTCTGGTGGGCCATGGCATTAGTGCTGGAGTCTTGTTCCTGTCCTTCCAGGCAGCTCCCCTTGGGTCTCTGCATGTCAGACCACACCAAAGGAGTTCTAAGTGATTTGACTCTTGCAGAGCACCTTTAGGAAATGTTAAAATATTGATTCTCTAGAGGCAAATTAGTAGATTGCTCTCGTATTATCCTATAACAGAAAAATGTTTGACTTTATGGCAACCTTCCATAGTCATTTCATTCCTCAAAAGTTGTGCATTTGGTGTTTGACCTTGAGCATGTCAGTGGTTTCTTCCTTGTGCTCTGAGTTTTTCCTTTCGTGAAGGCTGTAGTGAACACTAGATCCGTATAGTGGAGCACTGACACAAAAGGGAGAGTATCAGGAAGGGCCTTTTTATTTCTCAGACCCTTGAGGGGTAAGGGATCGTGTTTTCACCGTACTTTACAGCTTATGAAGCATTTTCACACGCATTGCCAAATTTGATCCACAGCAGTAATGCAGATAGAGCTCGGACTGTAATTTCCGTTTTCTCAATGTGAAAATGGATTTAGAAAGGTTAGATAGCTTATTAATGACAGAGCCCTCGTTCAGATCCCTGTCCCT